TATGGCCTTTGCTCATCAGCTCCTCCACTTGCTTTTGCAGCTCCTTAGTCTCTACAGGGTTGGTTCGGTATGCTGGCCTGTTAGGTAAGGCTGATCCTGGTACCAAGTCAATCTGATGCTCTATCCCGCGAATTGGAGGTAGCCCTGGTGGAATTTCTACTGGAAAAACGTCCTTGTATTCCTGCAAAATCTCAAACATAGCACTAGGAAGCTCCTGTGAAGGGTTAGTACTAACAAGGGATTCCTTGTACACAAACATAAAAGTAGTCATTTCAGGATCAAAGAGTTTAGAAAATTCACTGTGGTTTATGTAGAGGCTGTTGGCGACTTTCTCCTTCTCCTTGAGCTTCATTTGAACTTGATCTTGATAAATCTCGGTAGGCGTGAGAGGTAGGAGGGTAATTTTGCGACCTTTGAACTCAAATGAGTGCTTGTTGGTGTAACCGTCGTGTATCACCCTACGATCTGATTGCCACGGTCTGCCTAGCAACACATGACTCGAACCCATGGGAATGACGTCACATAGAATCTCATCTTCATACTTCCCAATAGATAGAGAAACCATAACTTGCTGAGATACGGTCAAGGCTCCACTGTCATTCAACCACTGAAGCTTATACGGTCTTGGATGAGGAATAGTCTTGAGCTGGAGCTTCTTAACCATCTCTTCGCTTGCAGCATTAGTACAACTTCCTCCATCTATGATCAGGCTACAAACTTTTCCTTGAATGAAGCATCTCGTATGGAACAAGTTCTCTCGCTGACAAGTCTCTTCAGGTTGACTCTGAACACTCAAAGTCCTTCTGGCAACCAGCATCTCGCCCACGGCAGCAGCTTCTTCCTCTTCCTCTAATTCATATTCGGCCTCTGAATCCTCTTGAGGAACTATCTCTCCTCCCTCATGTAACAAGAAAACCTTCTTGTTTGGGCAATCTCGAGAGTAATGCCCCATTCCTTGACATTTGAAACACCTCACATTGCTGATAGAAGTGCCACCTCGAGGCTTGAACTCAGCTTTAGCTTCTTCTTTAACTCCAGTAGAGGGCGGTTTGATGTCTCTGGAGTAAGCTGGCTTGCTGATCTCCTTAGGCTTAGGTACACTAGGCGTGAATGTGGACTTGATGATTCGCCTCTTGACTTGAGATTCCACCAATTCAGCCTTATGCACCATCTCTTGTATATCTGCGAAATCCTGAAGTTCCACCTTGTCTTGAATTTCTCGGTTAAGTCCTCCAAGAAATCTCTACATTACCATCTCTTCGCCTTCTCGTAAATCTGCACGAATAAGCAAAGTTTCCAATTCCTGATAGTAATCTCGAACAGACTTCGTACCTTGGACGAGGCGCCTGAGCTTGTTGAGTATTTCGCGCTGATGATGTGCTGGAACGAATCTCTTCCTCATCTGTATAACAAGCTGATCCCAAGTAGTAATCGGAAGTTCCCTCAGGCGATTTCTGGTGACTCCCAACTGTTCCCACCATAGAAGCGCATACCCATGAAATTCTGACACAGCAATTTTCACCTTGTTGAGCTCGTAGGTTCCTTGGACCAGAAAATTAGACTCCATCTTCCTTTCCCAATCTAGATAAGCTTCGGGATCATTGGTTCCATGGAAAGGAGGATACTGGATTTTGATATGACGCAGCTGCTGACATAGAGGATCATAATCTCGACCATGTCCTCGGCCTCGATCTCGTCTCACAGTTTCTCGGCTATGATCAGAAGCTTCGTCCTCCTCATAGTATTCTGGGTCTGATTCCAGGGTAACTCGATGCCCAGCAATATATTCCTCTCGGCGGTGCTGACGATCTACCCTTGGGCCATCTCGTTCTGCACCAGTAGGATTCCTCCTCGGATTAAACGTAGTCTCTCTACCCCCAATTTGGCTTCGGCTGGACTTAGCTTTAGTCCTGGCTTCGGAAGGTGTTGGGTGGCGTGGAAGTTTCCGGGAAGATCCTATGTGCCCTTTACCCTTTGCTAAGCGCATTGCTTCCGAAGGAGTTGGAGTTTGAGACGACTCTTCTCCACTTGCACTGAGGTCTTTGAGCAGATCATTCATCTTCGTCTCGAACTTGTCATTGAGTTGTTCGATTTGTTGTGTGAGCTGAGTTGCTATGGCTTGATTCGCTTCTTTAATTTGTTGAGACATTGCTCGGTTCAGAGCTTCCATCGCCTCAGCCGAGAGCTCCATGGTACCTGAAAAAATTTAAAAAAAAAAACTCGCAGTAACTTGTTCGAGAAGAAATCACGAAAACAGCAAAATTAAATTCATCATAAAAAAATTAAACGATCCCCACGAAATCTAAAAACAAACTTAACGAAACTAATGAAATTTAACGAAAATTTTTTTTTTTTTGTGTACTCTTTTTTTTTTTTTTTTTTTTTTTTTTTTGCTAACTTAAAAAAAAACGAAAATACACAAACTCCTAACAAAGTTTAACAAAAACGAGATCGACCTTGACGAAAACTAAACACGAAGACTCTCTTAACAAACCTAAACGAAATCGAAACAACAATTTATCAAGCCTATCGAAATCAACAGACCAAACCCTAGACTCGATACGAAGCAATGAATATGATCAAACTCGACACAATGAATAAGCGGCAAAAGACTAGATCGATGCAATCTAATGGAGATATAGAAGTGATGCAGCAAAACAAACTAATATCGAACACGACCTAACAAATAACAAAAACAAAACGAATGATGCAGCAATTAAAGGAAACAGATCGATGCACACAAACTATAGAACTCGCTAACCCTAATAACACAGAAACGAAAATTCAAAGGTACAGGGATTAGGGTTAGAGTTTCGCTCAGCCTTTGGTTCAGAGTTGGCTCTGATACCACGTGATACGATCTGAGGAGATCAACTCTGAAGATAAGGCAACAGGCGAATTCGAGATCGTGACTTGGAGGAACAGATGCGATGATATTGGTGCGATGAAGCAGCGATGGTGGCGCGATGAGAGATCGATGGTGGTGGGCGGATCGAATCGATGGTTTGAGATGGTGGTGTGATGCGGCGGATCGAGTGAGATGAGAAGATGATGGTTTGGTTTCTCAAATCGATGGTATGGTGGAAGAGATAGAACCGATGGAATGGTGGGATAGAAGAATCTCTTGTAAACAGATTAGTTTTTAAGAGATTCGAATTTCAGAGTTTTTTTAGTTCTCAGAAATCAAAGAGAGAAGAACACGTTAAAAGTTTGATCAAAATTCTTCACTGAATAATACTTAGGCGATTTTCTCTCTTAAATAGAGTTAGAGAGAAATCGCAGCCCTAATACAAAACTACATGAAGTCTGAAATAAAAACAACACGAAGTTTGATTAAAAAATAAAACAGCGAGGCGTCCCTTCTAATTCCGCCTAAAACAACTAGTGCACAAGTCATTGTGACTTTGCACATTATTACCCATTAGTAACAACTTCTAAGTAACTCGACGTAGCAATGATTTCTGCCTCGTTAAAAACCTTGGAGAAGAACCTCCTTGCCTTCCAAAATCCTCACCAAGGAAAAGAGTACAGAATCATCACCTAAGTTACCTAGTCATTGTTACTGGGTTCTTCATTCTTCAAGATAGAGATGTTGAAGATGTGAGCTCCAGCCTCCTGGTGATCGCTGTCCTCCGTGGCAATGAGTGCGTCAGCCTCCTTAGCCATCTCTGTAGCTCTGGAACGAGTGATCCTGCCAGCTACCTCTGGTTCCTCCTCCTCTGATCTGGTCACGATCATATCAGAAAGTGAGCTTAACATCCTCAAGAATCTCCAGCTTATTCAGGAACTCAATATCAGGAAACCGACCCTGAGCCACTCTCACCATGTTAAACTGGTTCAAGTATTCCCCAGTGGTTGGAAAATGATCTCCTTCAGGCTCGGCCTTTGGTTCTCTCTTTGTTCCTCCATCACACTCGGCCTCGTGTTCAGGTGCAGCTTCTCTTTCAACCGTGGTCCCAACTTCTTCCTCATGAGGTTTCAAAACCACTTGCTTTCCCTCATTTTTGGCTCAGTCAGAGGTACAAACGTAAGCATAGTGTTCTTTGCGCGCTTTGCAGCTGGTTCACCGTCGGTTCCTTTGGTGCTTGCGGACGATTTCTTGGTTTCTCCTCCAGTTATGGCTGAGGCCACAGCCTTTCCTTTGCTAGATTTCCTCTGAACTTCTTTCCCTTGGGCTAAAGCTGCTGTCCTCTCAGTCATCTGCAAGAGAAATCCTCAAAGAAAGAGTGCGCACCAAGTATATCGCTAAGCTCAAGTGCAAGAGAACAAGCAAGAACAGAGCTTTCTGTTAAAAAGAATGGTTCAATGGTTTCTCAGGCTCAAAGTGATTAAGAAACGAGTTAATACAACTGTTAACACAGAGAAAAGCAAGCAACTTAGCCGGGAAACCCATTTCACTATTAAAGCCGATTTAAACCACAATTTCTCATGAATTTTAAAAACTCAAGAACAAACAATTTTCAGTGCAAGAACCGGTTTTTCAAATGTTGTCTATCCTGATGGAATTTCTAAATTTGTTCCCAAGGTTTTTAACAGCCTAAAAGAATCCATTCCACATTTTACAAACAATAAAGCTCGCAAACGATAAATGCAAATACCTTTGCAAACACAGGATTCAAGCTCAGTGAGATGCTTATGCAGGATAGACAGCACTGTAATGAGTTCAGAACACTTGAAATCGTGCCAAACTAATGAGAAATGAGAGAGTTATGTTAGTAAGATGCAGAGGAAAGGTGAAGAAGGGAAACTCTGCGTTTTGGCTCGGTATGGAGACAGGTATGGGCTGGAATCTCTTTTCTAGCTGGCGTTTGGACTGTTGTGGCACTGGTCCCCCCTTCTCCAAAGACTCCAACCGTTGACCGCACTCAAATATTGTGGGTCCTCTGCGTTTAACTCTTCAAGGAGCTCATCAGCTATCTCCCTCTATTGTTTCAATATAGAAAACCTGACCTCCAATGGTCGGTTTCTTCATCATCTCCTTCACATCGAAATTCATGGTTTCAGAACCGATGTGCAGCTCGATCATGCCTCCTCTCACGTCGATGATCGCTCCTGCTATTTCCAAGAAGGGTCTCCCTAAGATGGATGGGATCAACAGGCTCCTCATCCATCTCTAGAACTATGAAATCTATGGGGATCTCTATCTCACCAATTCTCAAAGGTAGATCTTCAAGTAAGCCAATCGGTAACCTCACTGATCTGTCAGCCAAAACAAGGGAGATCTTTGCTGGTTTGTAGCTCTTAAACACAAATCTTTTAGCCACTGAATAAGGCATTAAGCTCACAGAAGCTCCCAAGTCACACAAACAGCTTGAAAACTTCAAAGGACCGATTGCACATGGTAAAGTAAAACTACCCGGATCTGATAGCTTTCTTGGTATTGATCTCCTTTGAATGATGGCACTGCACTCATGACTCAATATGACCATCCCTTGAAGCTCTTTTGTCTTGTTAAGTATCATGTCCTTTAGAAACTTTCCAAGCTGAGGTATAGCTAGAAAAGTGATAACACCGGATTTTGACCATTTTTATGGATCACTTTAATGTCTTTTACAGGTGTTTTTACTCCATTTTCAAAGGTTTTTAAAGGATTTCTATGTTTTTGGATTTCAAAAGACTTTTCAGGTAATTTGGGATAAAGAGGCATAAATTGGAACAAAAAGACTCGATAAATGCAGACTGTCAGAATTCTCATGGAGAGACGAAGACCTTCTGACCGTCTGATCACCGTAAAAATTGGAATACTTATAGAAGAATCAACCAGCTTTCAAATACACTTGGTTTGGAGACATTCCAACGGTTGGATCTCAAGATATTCCATTTACCTCGGAGACACTCGAAGACGGCCAGCAAGTCACGCGACCGCGGCCACCAGCTTATTTCCCGCGGTCACCAGCTTCCCGACCGTGGCCAATCACCTATTTCCCGCGGTCACGTTACTCCCGACCGCGGCTGGGCAACTCCGATTAAAAACCCATATTTCTGAAGCCCAAAGTCATTTCTCAGCATCAATTCTGGAACCCTAGAGACCATGGAGTACTGAAGACTATAAATACTTGTCATTTAGGTCGTTTTTAGTGAGAACCTTGATACTTTTATAGAAACCCTTTCCTTTAGCCGTTTTATGCGATTTTTAGAGAAGATTGTTCAACTCTGAGTTCTTCAATAGAGAAGCTTTCTTTCATCTATTTTCTTTACTGTTTTTGATTACTTTTATTAAAACCAATGATGATGTTGACCTCAGCTATATCTGAGTAGATCCCGAGTTGGGCTTAGGCTTCCCGAAAGGGGCTCTCATAATAATTAAGACATCTAGTATACTTGATTGATCACCTAGTATCTGATCTAGATAGTTAGTGTTGCAAAAGTTTTCATTAAGTATCAGACCTACAATGAAACAGGCGATTTTTCCGTAGGAGTGGAAACCTACCTGCGGCGAGATCGTGAGTACTGACGAGTCTTGTGCATCTCTTGCGTTCTCTCCCTTCCAGGGCCAGAGTGGAAACCTACTGGTCAGGATTACGAGAAACTGTTGGTTATGATCACGACAGTGACGTAGTCATACTGTCGTACTCTAGATCTAGAACCCTATATTTCGATATCCGTCAATCCCAATCTATAATCCTTAGTGTAAAAACCGATTATGATCCCTGTAGAGTTTCCAAAAGCTCAGCGTTTTTAGCTATAGTTTACAAACCAATCAATTTTTACTTGCTTATTTAGATCTGCATTTCATTTGCTTTAGTTCGATATTTTGCTTGTTTCATTTGCTTTCATTCGATTTTTCTACTTGCTTTCTAGGATAGATTTATTTGCTTTCTTTCATTTTAGTTGAGTCTGTGACAAACAACCAACCCCTACAACAAATCAAGTCTAGACATAAAGTTAGAAACCGTAGAAGAATACCAGGCACACAAATCTTTGTGGATTCGATCCCTAAATACTACAACTGATTAGCTGTGCACTTGCGGCTTTCATTTGTTTTAATTAAGGGTAAAACTTGTTCCCTCACGCAGTTGACACGCATCAAGTTTTTGGCGCAGTTGCCGGGGATTTGTTTCGCTGCCTTTGCTATTTTTCTTGTTCTAATTTCTGTTCTAGACATCTGATCTCTAGTTCTTTCTTAAAATTTGTTTAATTATCTTTCCCTTCTTTTGTTTTTCTCTGAATTGCATGAATACCAGGCGCAGACCTGTAGAAAACATTCCAATTCTAGATGAGATAGACAGACACGAAAGACAACTTCGAAGACTTAGACGAACGCAAGGAATGACCAACGACGACCAGCCTGGAGATCCTGTTAACCGAGCTTTAAACATGGACCAAAGATGGGTCCGAACATGAAGAAAATAAAGAGACCAATCACAGAGGAGGTGATCATGCTCGACAAGATGGAGAAGAGGATGAAGTTCCTCCAAGAAACCATCAAAACTGCGAGATAGAAGAACGTGAAGACCTTGATGCACTTATCAATGCAGCCGATGGTGACCACCAGGGGATGCAGCCGAATGGACATGTTAACCGCCCTATTCAGCCAGCAAATCAACACCGAAGACAAGCAAGGAACCATCGCATAGCTGATTTCGATGCACCTACTCAGAATTTTCAGAACCGATCCGCGATTCAAGTACCATTTCCGAACCGGAATGAGTTTGAAGTCAGGCCTCAAATCATCTCATTAGTGAAATAAAACCAATTCCATGGATTTACTTCTGAACATCCAATGGACCATATCGAGCTCTTTGAAGAAATCTGCAGCATGATGAGAACAAACCAAGTTCCAGCAGACTATTTAAAGTGTAAGTTGTTCCCTTTTTCATTAGCAGACAAAGCTCACCATTGGTTGAAATCTTTTCCTGCAGGATTGATTACTAATTGGAAAGAATGTAAAACTGCTTTCCTAAACCACTTCTACACTAAGTCAAGGTCGATTTGTTGAGAACCGACTGAACCTTTCTATGAAGCCTGAGAACGTTTTAAGGGGATGAACGTGATTGCCCTCACCATGGATTTCCCGGATCAAGCCTGATGAGCACATTTTACCGAGGTTTGCAACCAAAATACAAAATTTCGCTTGATACAGCTAGCAATGGAGATTTTGGACAAAAGACGATAGCACAAGGAAGAGCCCTCATCGAAAATTTGGCTCAAGCCAATAGCAATGATTTTCCTGAATACGATCGCTCGACAAAGCAAACCGAAGCAGACAACAAGGAGATAACCGAGTTGAAAAACATGATGAGCCAGCTTTTGAAAAGTAACAATCGTCCAATCCATGCTTGTGAAACCAACAATGGCGCAGAAGATAAAGGACCTAATGATTGATAACACTGTATTTTGACCACTTTTATGGATTGTTTTGAAATACTTTTTCTATGTTTTTAATTACTTTTAATTACTTTTATTACGTTTTTCTAATATTTGTAGTTCCAAGACTCTTTTAGGTAACTTAGGGAAAAGCTTAACAAAATGGATAGAATACCAGATTTCAGCTCAGAGTCAAACCGTCAGAAGTTCACCCCCGATTGAAGGCCTTCTCACCGTCTGATCCAGCTCAAATTTGGAGATCTTAAAGATGGAATTATTTTTCTTTTAATTTTCAGGTATTCTTATAAAACAAAAACACAAAAAAAAAATCAGAAAATTACAAAAACCGAGAAAAAAGGAGAGGTTTTTAGCTGCTCGGCCCGGCAGAAACCTGAAAGTTGGACAAAGGTCGCAGGAATAAGGGCCGCAGTTGCGACCAACCGACCTGCGGCCAACGCATCATAGACCGCAGCACCGTGAATGTGACCAATTCGAGCTTATGATCACCGCAGTCACGCGTCTCCTGACCGCGGCCGTTGGTCGTTGAGACGGGAACTCGGATTTCAGCCTCTTTTAAAAAGTTCCTGATGTTTCCTGGTAATTCCCGGTGATTCCGGTGTTTCCCGGTTTTTCCTGGTGATTCCCGGTTATTCCCGTTGTTTCCCAAGTATTCCCGGTGTTTCCCGAAGATTCCCAGTGTTTCCCGGTGATTCCTGGAACATTCCCGGAAAAGCCCATTAAGATTCTCCGTAAGTTTGAAACCAACTGTTACGTACAAGACAAGAAAAGTAAGTTCCCGTAAGCTTTTGAATTCCAGGAAATTTTCCGTTTTTGCTACAAAAACGCTTTTTAAAGAAAGGAAACGCACTTTTTGGATCAAAACTCCTTTTTCTCTTCTCTTCCAAAAGACTTGGAGATTTAGGAGATAGAACATCTTTTTAATTCTTAAGCTTTTTAATAGATTCTTGGCCCAAACCTCACTCTTTTTCAAAGCTGATTTCAAATCTACCATCAAATCTCTCTTTCCAGCAACGTATGAAGCTCAAACTCGCCATTTTTAATTGATTTTGGAATTTAGGGTTTTCTTAAAAAGCCCAAATATTGGTTTATTGATGGTGGAAATAGCTTAAGGACAATAGATTATCCTTCTAGGTTATCTGAAAATCGATTTTAACACCTATCTTAAGAGGAATTGAGATTTTTGAAATTTGGATTCTACATGCTTTATAAAAATCAAATTTGGAACAGCAAAATTGGGGAATTTGATTAAGTCTTGTGTGATTAGTGATTAGTGTTAGGTAACCTATAGATTTGACATGGAAATTGCTCACTTAAACCGATTTTTAGAAGATTTCTATGTTGAGAACATCAAAAATCCGAATCTGGTCATGAACTGCTGGATTTCTTCGATTCAATGTAAATTTTTCTTGCTTGTGGTTTTAACTAATCTCTTGATACTATGATTAGTATAACTGATCGCTAATGTTTTAAAATCAGCTTCCATATTCACTCTTTTTCCAAGAATCATCTCGTCTTGTAGGAAAAATGGAACAAAACAGATCCCGAAGAAGCCGTAACACTGGTGACAGCTCTGAGGACATTCCCGATGATGTTACTCTTGGAGAGTACATGTTGAACCAAACCAGAACGAGAAGAAGAAACTACGTGATGAGACTGCTCCAGCACTCAAGAGAAACACAAGCAACTCCCGAGCCACCACAGATCCGATACATTGGGCAAGAGATCAACTCTAGAGTGGACTATGCAAGACGTTTCAAGAAGCTAAACATCAAACCGACGCCCTGCATTGATTATCATACACTCGAGATGCTTGGAATTAGAGAAGATGTAATCTGGTACATCGATGCACTTAAGCTGAGACCCTACATGGAGCTGAACCTTCCAACTTATCCCGAGCTAGTCCGCGGGTTCTTAGCAACTGTCACACTCCACCACACGAATGGAAGCAACCCTAGAGCATCTGACGACATCTTGTCATTCTCTATACACGGACAGACATACTCGCTCACCATTTCTTCACTTTGTGAAGCTCTTAAGCCTCCATACACTGATGGCATTCACCTTAAAGAAGAACCCGATTTTGACTTATGGAGAGAGATGGGTCATGGCGTCTATGATAGTGGGAGATCCAAGT